CGAGAATCCAATGATGTTTTAACTCTCATTAGCAAATATTCCAACTTAACCAAAATTTACCGCATTTTTGCATACATATTGAAGGTCGATTCACACATAGCAGTGATGTGACAGTGCCATGACCGGCACGTGGTTTCACCGGCCGTAAACTCACAGTGATTTCTATTCATATTGGTCAGTGTTTCATCAGTGCCGTGTCAGTATAGTTTATAGCCAAATGGAATAAATATTTTCAGATGAAGAATTTATCCGGATCGCACTGGTTTTGGACGAAGAAATGGAAGAACAACAAGAAGAACAGGTAGAAAAATGACACTGCGTCCATTCTGCATGGAAAAAGAGAGGTACAGCAGGGGGATTTATAACATTATACAAAGAACTAGTAGATGATGCAGCAAAATTTTTGAATACTTTAGGATGTCAGAAAATTCATTCAACCTATTGTTGTGCAAGATAGTAGTTCATTTGAAAAAGGATGACACCCTCCAGATAGCATTCTTGAAATCAGAGTCCATGTATTTTGAGTTGCACAGGTCCTACAAAACGGGATAACCACGGACCAACTCAATTTGTACGGCCGTGAAAATCCAACAATATCGTCAGGAACTAATATTACGATCACTTTACGGTGCCGGCGACAGCACTGTTTGCACTGTCACGGTCGCGCGTAGGGCAGATGGGAATAGGTACCATCAAATTCCTACGAGAATAATTTTGATTTCGCCGGTGAAATCACGTGCCGGTCACGTCACTGCTATGAGTGAATCGACCTTAAATGTTAAAAACGTTTGAAAGTCAAAATCAGTATTTTACCTTGGCTTGAGTTCACAAGGAAACTATCTGCTGAAGAGATGCTCTTGATTTTCTTATAAGCCTGGTACAAACTGAGCCGTTTCCTGAGGAATACTCTACTTTACAAAAGGAACACAACATTTCCGATAAGGCGAAACTTTTGACTTTGAATCCATTTTTTGATCATTTCATCAATGTAATAGGAGTTGGAGGTCGTCTTCAAAATTCTGGATACGATTTTCAAAAAAGAAACCCTATCGTATTACCTCCTGAACACAGACTTACCTACCTCCTGATTGCTCGATCCGAGCATATCAATTTACTACATTCGGGTCTACAATTAACTTTTGCATCATTACTGCCAACTACTTAGTGGAAGAAATTTAGTGAGAGGTGTGTATCACAATTGCACAATTGGCTGCCAAATCCACACAATACATTATGGGCAATCTATCCAAAGCTCGCATAATACCATCTAGACCATTTTCTGTCTCAGGAATTGACTATGCCGGTCCCTTCATTATTAAAGATAACAAGGGGCGCGATTTTAAGACTTCCAAGGCTTATTTAGCTTTATTTATTTGCTTTGCCACAAAGACGTTACATTTAGAATTTGTGAGCGATTTGACTAGCGAGAATTTTTTGTCTGCCCTAATAGATTCATGTCACGAAGGGGTAAATGTGCACAAATATACTCGGACCAAGGAACAATCTTTGTCGGTGCCAATAATGAACCTCAGGGCTTCCTTGAGAATGATTCATCTGCCATCTAGGATAGTTTGGGGAATTCGGGTATTCAATGGAGTTTTATACAGACTCGCGCACCTCACTTTGGGGGATTTCGGGAATCCAACGTGAAGTCAGTGAAGTACCATCTAAAGCGTGTTGTTGGTAACTCATGTTTGACATTGGAAGATTTTCTTATTGTTTTAAACCAAATAGAGGCTTGTCTGAATTCCAGACCCTTATGTCCCCTCTCTGACAACCCCAATCATCCTAATTCTCTTACCCCTGCGCACTTCCTTATTGGGAAGCCCCTTAACACAGTTCCACAACCGAGTCTGCTAGGAGTGGCAGAAAAGAGACTGTCAAATTACGAGCATAGGCTAGCAGATGGTCCAACATTTGGGCCAAGGAATACATAAGCGAATTTCAGATTCGCACAAAATGGAAACAGCATCATTCACAATTTTTGAAACCTGGCATACTTGCCATCAGTGAAGAAGATGGACTTCCACCTTTGCAATGGCGAATTGGCAGAGTGACTCAAGTTTTCCCGGGAGAGGATGGTGTGATCTGCACAGTATCTATCAAGACAGCTACAGGAATGTTCAAGCGTTTTGTAGCAAAATTATCCATCACATCCACTCAAGACTTTTAAAAGCCCATGCGCTTTCAAGGGGGGCGGTATTTTCAGTGTTGTGTAGACGGAGTCGGCTCTGTTCAGTATCTAATTAAATAATTAGTTGTGACGTGAAATTCTAATAATTTTAAACTTTCTACACAACAAAGATCAATCAATCATTGAAATCAAAGAGTTGGAGCTTATAGCTACTAGAAGCCAGAATTTTCCAGGCTATGGGAATCTCAGATTTCATATACCTAACCAATGCCAATAAATATCTTCAAATTGCTATCAGCAAAATGCAATAAGAAACTATGTTAAAACCAGCGAAAAACGACATGATTATATAATTCATGAGTGGAAATGCTGGAGTGATTCAACTTCCCAATCAAGCGTGGAGAAATCCTGAATAATATATTCGAGACTCTTTTCTCGACAGTAGTCTAGCAGGCGAGTCCTTTTTATTTTTAATAATTTTTGCTCTATATTTTTGGATTCTCCCTCATAGATTTTTCAATATATTTTGCGATCAATGCATTTTATCATATCATTATTGAGTTTTTACCTGATAAATCCTATCTTATCTATTCTTGAAATATAAATATTATATTTTAATTTTTTATCTAATTGTGGGCTTCCATTTTATGCGATTGGTAGTGCCACGTTTATCTGAGGTAAGTCAATTCAGATTTTTGAACTAATAAATAAGGTACTGCTGCTATGGTTTTCAGAATCAATTGTTAGTGTGGGAATATTGGACTTTTTGCTCTAAATAGAGTCGGTGAAAACCAAATTTGTGTGTCCATCTTTATCAACTCTTTATTGAATCCAGGCAGAGGCCTGAATAGCCATTTTCTGCTTGACTCCGTCAATTATTATCTCGACTAAAGGGTGAATTGTTTTAAATAGAAATCCAGATAGGTCAAAAATTCAGTTGAAAAGTTTTAATTAAAACATCTCAAGAATTTTGACATATTCTGGATTTGATTGATTTCACCGTCAGGTTTATCTTGTAGTATCTATAGTATCTACCTTTATTTAAAAGGAAAATTTTGTCTATTTGGGAGAGAATCCAAAGATTAATTTCTTATTGTCTTACCTTATTTTGTTCATATTTTTGCCTGCTAGTGATGCTGTCAGAAAATTTCGAGAGCTATTTAGATTTGTCAATATCCATGGGGCTTCAGTTAACATGCGCAATTACTAAAAATCTCTCAATTATTCTTATGTCCGAGCTTGAAACCAATCCCCACAGCAAAATCTCATAAGTCCAAACCAGTTCAAAGATTTATAAACTAGCACGAGTTAATTTTACATTTACTAGGTATCAATTATCCAAATAATTAATAGCTAGCTATTTGCAAATGTTTCTTCCTACAGAAAAACTTTTAATATTAAATACGTAACATTTCAATGCATCATATTACGTGAAAATTGTTCTATTTTAGGAAAATCAAATTAGAATTTACCTTGAAATGTTTATCGTTCCGGCTCTCTCTGCACGTTCCTCAATTGCAATTAGATTGAGAATTCCTAAACGCTGTATTAATATTGGCGGTAGACCTGATTGGATTAATGCATAATGGAAATTATTTCCTCAATATACCTCATATTGATTCGTAAGCAAATAGTCACATTTTCCTGGAACTCAGTTAATTAGATTTCAGTATATACGTAATATTTTCGAGCAATATGATTTCGAGGAGGATACATATTTAATATTTCTACAAAGATAATACAGCCATTAAAAGCAGTCTCAAAAATTGAATTATTAAACTTGTCCAGTTGAATTTCTTTGTCGACCTTTTTTCCTGCCGCCGCCTTCGTCCCAACGGTGGGTCGTTTAAAATTGAAATACACGGTTAGCGGATGGCCCTATGCAAACATGCAAATATTTGTTTTCGGCTTCAAGGGCCTTTCCTGTTGGCTTTACAATGAACAGGAGTTGTCTCAATCATGAGGGCAGGAATACGTCAAAGTTTGAATTTAGAAAAAAAAAATTACTATGCAGATTGAGATAGAAATAAAACGTACCTGAAAATAACAATACTGTGATGATTTTTTTTTTATAGATTGATGTGGGTAGCGAATTTGTGAAAATCTAAACTTAGTCGTGCCCGTGTAGTTACGTCTTTCTTACTTATGATACCAGTTTTTTGAGCTTCCTGATATTAACAATTACGTATCTAAGTCAAAAATATGGTTGGAAGAATATTTACATCCGAAATAATAACACAGAGTTTACCTCAATTAAAATAATTGACTAATATAACCATAAGCGATACGGTTAATGATCAATTATAATCAATAAACATAAAGCCAATTATAAAGTGTAAACTCCATTCAAATTGGATAATGTTAAACTTCATCACATTAATCAACATGTCGGCCTTTATATTTCGTGGTTGCGGTCACCTGGGGTCCCAATCCCTACATGCAAACGCTTTACCACAAGTAGGTAACAACTTTACGCCCCCGCTGGGAACGAAACACATTCACAGATTGTAATGACAATGCGGTCGCCTTAAAAACATTCAAGTTTTCGTCAATTTCCTGCTAAGTTATACAAAAGTACAAATTATGCAACGTAATTGCATTGGAGTTAAAATTCTCGCCTCTAGATTTTTCTTTGTTTTAATCCTAAAATTTGTAAAGTTTTCCAATATCGAGCTAAATTTTCTTCGCTAAAATAAATTCTAATTTAAGTTCTCCCGACACAAGTCAAATAAAAGCTTTCAAGCTTTAGGCCAGTACGATTAGGCAAAAGTTTGATTAGCATCAGCGCACTTTATAAGCGGATTAAATTTAGTTTGCCGAAACTATAGTGTTTCAAACTACAACTAGAATTTAATTAAGAAATTACCTAAAGCTGATTTAACACCAGTCCAAGCTTCTCTAACGTAAGTGAAGAACCTCCTATGCAAAGGCCGCTTAGGTCTTCTCGGTTCCTCCTCCTCGTCCGCACTCTCTGGCTCTCCAGGTTCGGAACAGCCCTGGATCGGCTCTAAGACTTCGTGTGGCTGAAATCGACCTCGGGATATTATCGAAACTGTTGGCTGTTGCTCGTGTATGTTCGGGCTACGATTTCTGTTGGTAAGTCGTTGCTGATCGTGTTGAACATCTTGCTGTCGCTGCACCATTGGGTACATTATGTGCCCGGCATCTTAAAGCCGAGCATTCCGCTGTGTCTTTTTTTTTTAGCACATTATTGTTTGATGCTGTCTGAAGCTCTTATCACGACGCATAATATGTTAGTTGGTGGTATTAGTAGTGATGGTTTAGTAGGGATATCTGGAAATAAATTAATTAGTTAGTGGTTATGCAGAATTAGAATTTTGAATTGTAGTTCACAGAATAATAAATGATCTATTATGTTAAAATTGACTTCATATTGGAAAATTATACACCAAAGAAGACATGACTGGGTCGCTATCTATGACATAAGCACAGTTCTACCTGTACTTTCAGGACAAAAAGAAGTTGTAGGTACATACATGATAATTTTTGGATGAAAATTCTAAACTATGTAACGCTCTTTTGTCGAAACAAAAGAATGCTCATAATTGTGCTCGACTATGCTCAGTGGTTCTTTAGCTTGGGGTGGTCCTTGGTTTGTTTGTATAAAATTATTTTGATTTTTAAAGAATAGCCAAACTAGACACTATTCAAATAATTTGCTATTATTTAAAAAGATAAATTAAAAAATCTGAAAAGGAAAAATAAATCCAATACCTATCTGACATTCAACCCCTTCAATAAAAACACAAGTTTTGGCATTCTAAAAACAATAATTTATTAACCAAATAGCAAACTTGTTCATTAACAATTTGTTGACCGGATGGCGAACTTGTTGTTGATTACATTGAAACTTGTTGTTCATTACATTAAGACTTTATCTGTTTAAAAACGGTTATTGTTCAGCATCCAATTTTAATTTGAAATGTTAAGCAGCTTACGGAAGCAAAACTTAATTCAAATGGGTATATAAAAGGATTGAGATTTAAAAACAATTATATAGATACCTACGATGAGAATTACCTTAGTATAAATATTGAAGTCAAAATACAATTAACCTCAAATTTTTGACTCAAAGTCAATCAAATCAATAAAAAAAAAACAAATTAATAAATGCAGAAAGGTAATAAATAATCCCTAGGCAGTTATAAATATCAAAAACCTGCTAGGTGAAATTAAGGGGTCACGGTTTCGGGAAGAGCTCTACCTTCTTACCTTTAATGTTCAAAATAGGTAAACATAAAACTAAAATTTGACTACCTAAAGATTTTACATTGGTTTACCTTGTAAAACTACCACATTATTGATTTGAAATTAAAAGTTAAATTAACCTTTCAAAGGTAAATGAATCCACAATATATTATATTGATCAGTACTCGATATAAAGGAAATAAATTTATAATAATTAAAAATGTTTTTTCTCGCTTAAATTGGTTGAACGTTGAACCTAATTCAAAACATTACAGTTTCGCGTTGAACCAATGACATTATAACAAAACTGTTTGAAAATATTTTGAAACGAGATTTCGCCTCGGTTCAAAAACAAACGCATGCGCAATAGTTTAAGAAAGTTGACAGTTTGTTGTTTATGTTTATATTTGTGTTGTGTCTTTTGTAGCAGGTTATAAAATGATGAACAGAACACTCTATTAGGGCTATGGCTAATTACCAGAAAAAAAAGACAAACAAAAATCCTAGGTTAGGTATGTATGGTTAAATTCTGGTTTGAAATCCTCATTTTTTCTCGAATGAAAGTAATGACGTCATTTTTAAATAGGTTCAAAACAGATTTTAATAACATTTCGAACTGTTGGGGTCGAGAAAAAACACCTTAAAATAAGGCATAATTATTAGATACTTGATGAATAATGATAAAGAAAACGATAAGAAAAGTTAATATTTGACTCTGATAATAATTAATTAATCAAACTAATAATTAATTGTAAACGGTAGTTATCTATTATAGCTAAATACTACTATACGGTAAACGAATAAGTCGGTAATTGAATTTACAAAGATATTAATTAGCTAATGAAGCTAAACGATAGGGGGCGATAAAGAATAGGTAAAAAATAAGTTACGGTAATTGAGAATTACAATAGTTATTTATGTATCAAGGGTACTAAGTAGATGATTATGCCCTGAGGGCGACAGTCTTACAAAGCCGAGGGCCTCTGGCCCGAGGGTTCGTAAGTCGCCCGAGGGTATATATATCTATTAGTACCCGTGGTGCATACAAACTTTTATGTCATACCAGTTGGTTGTGAATAATAAATACCTGGAAAAAAAGTGTCACTTCGCAAATTGTCATCAGTGTGCAAACATCATCATTTTTTGACAAAAATAATATGTTTATAAGCGTAAACTTATATTTTTTTAATAAATAATAAGTTGATTGAAAACTGTTTTTTGCGACTTTATGCCCGCGCGGGCGATAATGTGTACTTTATGCCCGCACGGGCATAAAGTAATGAATTATGTAGATGGTATCTAAGGTATAAAAACACAATAATGTATTGGTATGATATAAAGATATTAATTAGCTAATGCAGCTAATCGATAAGGGGCGATAAAGAAAAGGTAAAAAAGAGTTACGGTAATTAAGATGGCACGTTTAAGACGCCCATAGGTAAATAATTATACAAGCCTGGACGGAATCCTTGTAAAGCCTTGGAAGTTTCCACAAATTTGAGATCTGGAGGTACCAAACTGGCTGGAGACAACCAAATAATGTTTGGGGATCAACTTCTTACAGAACACTAGCATTCCTTGAAAAGGGGGCCGAGATTTGTCCTGAGTTTCCAGGACAGCGTGGTCTCAAATTCGTCAATTTTCACTCAGAGAAATGCAGGCGCGGATTTTTCGTCCTGCCCAAGGTGCCTGAATGAATTGAAGGAATATAAGGACTCATTCATCAGAGAGAAAGAGGAATTTATATACCTGAGCGGCCGATAGTAACCTCACTTTCCAAAATTTTCACAAAAATCAACAATCGGTTGATTTTCCAGGAAACTTTCTAGTAGACACGATCAAGCACCTTTCTGATATGTGAAATTTACAAAACTATGGGCTCGATGGCCAAAAACAAAGACAAAGTTTTAAGATTTTTAAACTCGTAATAATTTGGACGATCTGGTTCGGTCCCAAGACAAAAGAGAAAAAGCAAGTCAAAAGTACCCAAATTAGTTCTTTCTTTATCTGTCAAGCTTGTCGAAATCATAAAAATGACAGCGCTACAGGTTTCTCGGAAATAACAGAATTTTCGATTACTTAGCTAATATGCAACACTTAAATTTCGCATTTAAGTTCGAAATAAAGTGAATTAGTCCGTTGTCACCGACTTAGAGAGTTCAAATTACATCCATTTATAATTCAATTTATTTAAGCCAGGAAGCAAGTCGCTGCATTATCTCTCAATTAACCCTTTGTTTTATTTGCCCAGGATTTCGAGTCACAATGAGTCTCTCTCGCTATGGCGTGTGTATAAATATTCATTACTCGCGCGAAGACTGTATCGAGGTCAACCGAAGCTTACTGCTGTCGCTAAAATTGCTTTTGCTAATCGCCTTGTCTCGCGACGAGCCAATTTCAAACGTTCGCTTAGTCGGTGTGAATCGACCTTTTGTATTTATGCGAATATTTAAGTCTTATTGCAAATTGAATACGTTTAACACTTATTACATAAATTTACTTACTAAATAAAGTTAGTTTTCGAGATAGCCCATACTTAAATGCTTTTTATTATTACTAAACTTGTGAGTCTAAAGTATACTTCAAGTACTAAAATGATATTTCGCAACGCTGTACGAGCCAATAAGGGCTTATATGGTAGTGGGCAATGGGTTTTTATCACTTCTTTGTAACAATATTACTTTATGCTGCAGACATTTTCCTTTAAAGACTTTTGAAATGATCCAAACTTTAGTACAAATTACAAAATTCCATAAAGTGTGTCAAATCCGTCTGAATTGTGACCGATAACAGTAGATTATATCCACCTATTGGAAAAATATTCGGCAAAATTCTCCATTTTGTTTTAACTATTTGAGAGCATGCAATGATAGGCAATAAAAAATCGCATATAACATTCCCTGTCCATTTTCCCCTTTTGTATCCGTCAAAATGTGGACACTCTAAAAAGTATAAACTTTTTAAAGAGCACTTTTTATACGCTGCTCGGACAATGAAGCTTTTAGAGCGAATGTCTGGATTTTTTTTTGCGACTAAAAATCCCTATTGAAGGACAGAGATACAAACGAGACGGCTAAAAGCCCTGGACAATGAAAACTGTGTTAATTATGCATAGTAGCTTTGCTTATTACCGGCACATTACTGACTCTCCCAGGAAAATGTGGTAGAAGGGAAATTAGGTTTGTGAGCCATTTGAACCAAAACTTTAGTTGGAATAACTTTAGATTATTACAGCTCAAGAAACATTTCCATTACCACACAAAATCGCTTCAATTTTCTCACACGCTCACGGACTTTCATGCATTGGCCAGCAAACAATAGGGAACTTTTCGCTATTCAATGGCTTATCAAATCCTGAAGCGGCGACCAGAAAAAAGGAAAAGTGACAGATTAATAGACAGGTTCGAAAAAAGGCCCCTTGTACGGATCTTGTTCGCAATGACCGATTGACCTAGCCAGAGCTATATAAGCTAAAAGAGAACAATGATGACCTACTTCTGATAAATCCATTGGGACAGTCGAACATTTATGAGCTCTGATGTTATTTGAATCTAAGAAAAGGAAGTTTGTGTGGCTATGAAAAAATATATTAATAACTGTGTGACTTACAAAATATATATTCCTTATTCTGGTGAATTCGGGAATTCAATATTTGTTGTTATTGGAAGATACATCCACAGTTCTTCTATCTTTTTCGAAATAAAATAAACTGCAGTAATTATAAACAACATTTGGCGACCGTAGACAAATTGAAGATAGAGAGAAAAATATTATAACAATTATTCGATGGAGTTGGTAAAGATTTGGACAAAGAGTTGAACTGTCAAAACATTTCCAAAGAAAAGATCATGAAGCTCCTGGAGGTTTTAGAGTATAAAATAAGCCGCATCTCCAGTATTGATGACAAAATTTGGAAGATGAAGGTGACCCAAGGATCCAACGACACCGAAATGGAAGCTGAAATTGTAACAGTAGAGGTTTTTAGGGAGAAGATTATAGATTTAAGGAATAAGGTAGACTATTATTTCATAAGTTGTGAAAGTCAGGCCGTATCAAATGTAAGTAACAAGCATAAGTTTCTTCTT